CTCAACAGGTGGACGACCACCACAAAGACCCCCGCGACCCCAGAGGTCACAGCGCCTAAACTCCATTTGTAATCTGGGCCTTTGGTAGCAGTTCATTCTCTGTATCGTCACTGACCGTCATCGGTGATGATGAAGATGGAAAGGAAGGCATTTGGAAGAGTGGGTTAGGGAGAGGTTTGCTGTCTCTCGCACTCACTGGGTTCTTCATCCTGCAGATGAAATTCGTAACACGCTGCGTTTCCTCATTATTGATGATCTCCATGTTCGTTCCTGACTGCTTCCACTCTCCGTCTCCGATCTTCCAGGAATACTCGACAGGCCCAGCAGCGCTGACGTCTCCGTCACAGCTCAGTGTGCAGCTCTCTGAGGTTGAGTTACACAACAGCGGCATCACACTCACCACAGGCCGAGGCGCTGCTTTAATCCTCACAGCCTGATGAACCCGACTCTGGACCTGGTTGTTGATCTCCACTGAATACACTCCAGTGTCCGCCGCAGTCATGTCCCTGATCTCCAACACTCCCGTGTCAGTGTTCAGAGTGGTTCGGCCTTTAAACGAGATGTGATCTCTCAGCTCAATCAAGTCTTTCACCCACTCAGCCAGCAGGTATTCATCACAATACCACACGATGCTGGTGATCTTTTCAGAAACCGGCTGAGGGCTGAGCTGAAGCGTGTCGCCATCCTCAAAGTACTTCTTTACAATCTGATCCTGAGAGAAGCTGGATGCAGCCAAGAGCAGCACAGCCAGGAGCCAGAAACCAGCCGAGAGCTTCATGTTCACAGATCGGTGCAGGAGTGACAGCAAACCACGTGTCAGAGGTCTCAAACCCTTTTCCTCTTCCGCTGCAGCCTGTGGTTTCCTACAGTGAGCGCAGTCTCAGTCTTTGCTGATTCCAGGATGTTCCTCCCACAGTTTTGCCAAAATGACCCAAATGCAGCGAGCAGACAAAGTAAACACAACGAAGTTTTAATTAAAGTGAATCTAAAAGATCGTGAACAAACTCCTGAACAGACAACAACAAACAAAAGAAGTAAACAAAGAGCAAAGCACAACAGGAAGTGACTAAACAGCAGAGCACAGAACCAAAGACAACAACTTAATGATGAGAGATAAGAAGACACCAGGAAGGCCAATGAAGGACATGCAAGAAGTCTAAACACAATACTCTCTGTTAGAGAACTCCCAGTAATCAGATGTGTGTATGATGACATATGGATACATATGAAGATTGCTGTTAATCTAGAATAATCATAGAAACAAATGATAACAAAACTCAGTCTAAACAAACTCCAAACTCTCCAGAAGTTTATCAACAACTTCATGTCTAATTAATTAATGTTTTTGCTTTAAACTCCAAATAAAGATAGAAAACATTACATATCTACGACGTGGTAGCCAAACACATCTACATTAGATATAACTGAGAGTCTGATCACCAGCCAGGCAGCTGCTGCTGGTCGCTGTTCATCATTGTTTCAGAGCCAGAGTGATTATTCTGAGCAACACCCGCTCAGCAGCTTTCCTGGAGCTGTCAGCAGAGTGCAGGCGTCAACTTCAACTCGGGTTTGATGTTTCTGGTCGAGACAAAGTTTCATCATCAAGTTCGTCGTCACTTCCTCCTCTCCTTTAGCAGCTGTCTCCATCACTCAAAGCTTCTCTGAAGTTCACTCGTTTGCTGTCCCGGTGATCAGGATGTCCTCTCCTTACACCGACTCACTGCTTTATCATCCAATCCAATAATATATATAATCCAATCTGTGCAAATGATTCCAATAATGCTGAGACAGTCGGGGGGGACCCTGAGGACAGCACGCTCTCAGAATCACTCAAGTGAAATCTAACAGGTGATATTTAGTTTATTTCAGAGTTTTATTTGTTCCAGTTTGGCTGAAACTAAACTTGTTTCATTCGGCCAAATATAGAAAGATGAAACAAACTTACGCCGACCAACACGAGGAAATCTCTCTTATAACATGTTTGCTTTTACTGATAAAACTCGCTGAAGTCTTGGAAAGCTGCTGCCTTTTCTCACTTCCATGTGAAACAGTTACTGTGACTATTAAGACTGGTTTGAAAGAGGAGTGAAAGAAGCCATCTATGTCCACTGTGAGCGACCATCTTTGAACAGAGGCGGGGTTTACGACACCAACTCTCTGCCATCTATAATCCAGTTTTGAGATCCCTTCCCAGACGCCTTAACGCCCACTCACATCCTGGGCCATCTGACCTCAGGAATTCGCATGATAAGGTGGGGCCAGGTTTCACAATGAACCACCCGAAACTCTGGCTGGTTGCAGCCAAGAGCAGCACAGCCAGGAGCCGGAAACCAGCCGATGTCTCCATGTTCACAGATCAGTGCAGGAGTGGCAAAAACCACGTTTCAGAGGTCTTAAAACTGTTTCCTTTTTGAACATCCTGTGGTTGCAGCACAAATATGTTAAATATGTTAATACGTTAACATTTCTGTTCTGCAGTGTTAGTCAGTGAGTGACTGGCTGCTCCCGTATGGGATCAGAATGATGCCACCTTATCCCACAGTCCAGCCAATGATGCGGATTCACATTCGTATATACGCAGCTAATCAACGTGGTTGACAGGCTATGACAGCGTCCTTATGTGCCGACACCGGTGTTGATGTGGAGTGAAGCCACGTTAATGACAACGTGTACAACCATTGGAGATGTGAGCAGGACAGACGGAACAACTGACGGACAAAGTGTGGACTTTATACCAGTTTTTAAACTGTGTTGATCGGCCGCGTAAAACCAGAGTTATGATAAAATATCTGCAATGTTTGGTTTCTTCCTGAATACTGTCGTTGTTTATATTTACTGCAGGAAGAAACGGTAAAAACGGCGTTTTATAAGGAAAACGCTCGAAAGCCTGTGAGCAAAAACAACACCCAAAAAACTCCGCCTTTCCTATTGGTGGAAAAATGTACCATGTGGACCAATCAAAAGAATGATATGGCAACATGGCATTTAGTTGTTTAGGAGGGGGAAGTTTTAGGAGTGACGGCGTGTTTGAGATGTGAGAGATTTGCGACGTTTAGCACAAATCTTGTGTAGTTAGTGTGTAGTTAGTGTGTAGTTAGTGTGTAGTTAGTGGTAGTAGTTGAGTAGTTGTAGTAGTTGTTATTTGAGTTGTAGTTGTTAGTGGAATTGTGTGTCAGAACAATGAGGCGCCTGCTGAGTGTTAGCAGGTGTTACAGCAGTGACACATCTGCTGCTGTCAGGCCTGCAGGTATCAGGCTGTTGTCTCCTTCATCTCATAGTGGACAGAAATTATTTTTTGGAGCGGCACAAATAATTTGGTGGCATCAGATTTTCAGAACAGCTGATTGTTCTGTAAATAGTTTGAAATGTTGTTTAAAAAACACCTTGGCTGCATTTTTAGGTAAACAGCTGCAAAAAACTTTGTTTGCATAACTCAGTTACTTTTTTGAAGAAGTAACTATATAATTAATTGCCCAGACATTGGTCATTATTTACTGTATTTTGCAGACAGAGTTACAGACTCTCTCCCAGACTCACAGACTCATCATACAACTCAGAGCTTTATTGGAGTTCAGGTTATTTTTTAAGATTTGTTTACATTTTCATTGTAAGTGGGCTAAAGCAGTTAATTAAAAGTCGTCTAACATAAATGCTGTAATTTGATTACTTTAATAAACATGTAACTTGGATGGATTGGATGCTGGCGTGACCACAGTGCACGTCTGCTGTCGCTCACAGTGGTCCACGGGACGCTCAGGGAGTTTGTGTGTTCGCTCAGACAAGAAGAATTTGAGGGAGCATTGTTCACACCTCGTACATGTCCTGCTCCACCTTCACATGTTTCTCTGCTCTGCTCATCACTGTTCTTGACAGTCAGTACCAGTACACTTCTTCTCCATTGCTCAGGCATCCTCTCATTCTGCAGGATTGTGTTAAGCAGTCCGGTTAAAAAGTCTCTTTTCTAGACATCTCTGCACCTGCACAGGTTTCCATGTTTTTTCATCCTCTTCATAGCTGCCCTCACTTGCTTCTTACTAATCCTTACAGTTAATGTTTCCCTCCAGTATCGTCACTGCAAACTGCTGCAGTCTAAAGATTTAAGCCATTGCCTGCCTTGCCTGGTGACGAGCAGTGCCACTGAGTGACAGCGAGGTGCACAGTCTGCACCTCTGTAACCTCACAGCTGGGCGTCATTCATGCTCCTAGTGAGATACAGCTTAGAGAGCAAAGCCGAGTGCAGCTGAGAGCAGCAGTGTCCTGAGCTGAAAGGCAGCCGACGTGTTCACAGATCAGTGCAGAAGAAACAGAAAAGTCTCTCTTCAGAGATCTTAAAGCTTTTCTTCTTTTGAACACTTTGTGGTTTCCTTCAGTGAGTGTGGTGAGCTTATGGTGAAAGCAATGAAAAAGGAAGTCGGCCCTATTGAAGCAGCGTGTTCACATCCACAGACGTCACACTTTGTGGTTTCTTCAGATGCCGTCTGGATGTCATTGTTTGGTCTTTAAAGAACTACAGCTCCCAAATTACTCTGCTGCTTCTGTTTGATTGCTTTTAAGACCCTGATATGTTAGTAGTCGTCTTTACTCGCTTAGCCAGGTGCAGGTGGTTCGGCTGAGATCAGCTGTTCTGTCTCACAGTATAAGACTCTTACTGTAGACTCTACTATTTTTATTCTTTATCATGCTGCTGTAACACAACAACTTTACTTATGGGATCAATAAAGAATCTGTTTATCTAGAAAATACACTCTTAGTGAGCAGAATTATATTCATTCCTATTAAAATGAAGCTAACACAGAGAGAACTGGCGTATGCTGGGTTTAACACTGTGACATCATAGCAACAAGGTCTGTAGTTCGAATCTTAGCCGGACTGGAGCAGGTCGCAGTGTCTCCTCAGGTGAACTCCACTGCTGTACTTCCACAAAGTAAAAGTCACAGTTTGATCATGAAACATGTAAACACTCAAATTCTGATAAATTATTGTTGTAACAATCCTGCTTATGGGAAATATTCAGCTAACAGTAGCTCAGTGCATCTGCAGCAATCAGCTCTGCAGGTCAGACTTTAAAACCTCACCCTGATGTCAGATCGTGCAGCTGGTTTCGTTCTGCACTCACAGTCAGCGGCCCCATTTCTCGTAGTTTGCTGTGAGCTGATTAATGTCTCTGCTGCAGTCCCGTTTGAAACGAAATGTAACGCTTTTTTATTCATGTCACTGTGCATGTCAGTGTACAACCTGTTCTGTGGACATTTATTCAGTTATATTATATTTATATAGCTGCAAATCACAACCAGGCGCTTCATATTGTAAGTTGAAGCATTTAACCCGAGGAAATCAGCGCCCAGTTCAAAATGGTCATTTTCATCCAGCGTCCAGTCAGAGCCCGACTACGTCTCCTTACATGCCCTGTGGTGTATTGTTTGTGTCCAAGCAGAAAACCATCCAACGTACGATTAACATGTTAAACTGTTTAAATCTCAGCTCTGTGCAGAGAACGTCCACCTCTGTCACAAAAATGGAGCCAGACTGAAACTCTGAAGCTTCAGCAGATGCTCAACATCTTTGTCTGGCTCATACAAAAACCCACAGCAGTGTTTGAATAAACCAGTGCTTGGACTGGAAAGATCAAACCTGCACACTGACAGCAGGTCTGAGAGCTTTAGTTACAGGATATGTAGGAAAGACCAACACAGGTAACTACAGGAGCTCTGCCAGGCAGGAAACAGGAGTTAGTGGCGAGTGCTTTACACTGACCTTGGTGAAGAGGTTTGTTTTGACGTCTCGCTTGACTGTCTGATCTTCTTCCATTGACCTGCGGACTGGTGCTGCTGAGCAGGAAAGCAGCAGAGAGCGTGCAGGCTGTGGACAGGTAACAACCAGGTGCTGGGTCCTTCAGCCACAAACAAAGAACGACTCCAACACACAGTAAAGGCATAAAAGAGCCAATTACCACCACAGAGGCTGACTTTAAATACTGCTCACTGACAGGAGATGAGACTGAAGCTCCGCCCAGCAAGAACAGCCGGCCCACAGCTCGACCTGAGAGAAAACAGACAGCGAGAAGGAAAGAAAACCCAGACGGCCGGGACCGTGACAAAACAGGAAAGAGTTTCAAATGTAAGACAGTGCAGCCAGAGATGCTGAACAAGACAAGATTTTAATGTTACTTTGAGTTCAACCTTACAAGGAAATCAAAGAAAACAGAAACAGATCAAATAAAAATAAGAATGATAAATAGATAATACATTTAAAGCTATAAATACACCGAAGTAGACAGTGAAGCAAAGAAATCCCAAAGAAAAAAGAACTACAAACATGGACGACCAGTCTGAAGTGCAGAACAGTTTTACAAAGCAAAGGAATGAGCTGCCCTTTGACGGGCTTCAGTCTTCATCAGGACTTAAAGTGCATTTTCATCGCTGTCAGCAGTTTTTCTTTTACAGTTTCTGAAACAAAAAGCAGACAAACACCGCAACCACCGCCAGGACGGCAGCGCCTACAAGAGTGAGGATCCACCATCTGTAGTCCAGATTTCCGTCCTGGTGAAACGGGTTAGTGATGGATTCGCTGCGTCGCTCACTCACTGGGTTCTTCATCCTGCAGGAAAACATCTTCACACACTGTGTTTCCTCAGAATTGATGATCTCCATGATTTTCCCCGACTGTTCCCACTCTCCATCTCCGATCTTCCAGAAATACTCGACAGGTTCGGCCTCTTTAACGTCTCCGTCACAGCTCAGTGTGCAGTTCTCCAAACTCGAGCCACACATCGGCGGCCTCACCGTGACCTCAGGCTGGGGCACTTCTCTGATCCTCACGGCCTGATGAGTCTGACTCTGGACACGGCTGTTGATCTCCACTGAATACACCCCAGTGTCCGCTGCAGTCATGTTCCTGATCTCCAACACTCCCGTGTTCGTGTTCACCTCTGATCGGCCTCCAAACCTGCCGTAATATGTCAGGGGAATCACATCTTCCACCCATTCGGCCAACAGTCCTCCGTCCCACTTCCACACGACGCTGGTGATGCGAGCAGAGACCGAGGCAGGTTTGAGGACCAGCGTGCCGCCAAGCTTGAAGTACGAGTGTATAATCCGGGCCTGAGCGAACCTCACTGCGGCTGAGAGCAGCACTGCCAGCAGCAGAAAGCCAGCTGATGGCTTCATGTTCTCAGATCGGTACAGAAGTGAAAGAAAAAAAATTGGCAGAGATCTTTTTCCTCTTTTCTGCGCTGGCAGAGATTCCCTGCAGGGAGTGCGGTGAATCTTGTCATGAAACCATTTGTGAAAAGGAAGTCAGCTCCCTGTGTGGTCGCACTGAACTGGCATGTTCTCATCCCAGTGCGTCACACGCTGACATTTTGTCAGTAAAATCCTCCTGATGCTTACAACCATGTGAACGACTTTGACGGTCAGCTGCTTCGCCCTGATGCAGCACAAATACACCACAGTTTGTGCTGGTTGGTGGCAGGTTGCATCCAGTGAGTCACGACCCCATGGCTGGTCACAACCATGGGTTACAGCAGAACTCTGGAAAGAGTTTTCTTCTTCTTCTTCACCTGCAGGATCCACATGTTGGTGGTGCACATTTGTCTTCCTCATAGCTGCTTCTCACACCGATTGGGTGGCGGCGTTGTTGCCTGTGGGACGCCCTTAAATTATCCCAAATGAAAGACTAATAGCCTGATTTTAATGGCCAACCAGCCTTTGAAACTACATCTCATAACATCTTAGAGCAGACGAGCTTCAAGTGGAATTATTGACACACCCTTAAACTGGTTTAAATCTTATCTCTCGTACCAAACTCGGCTCATTCACTTAAAAAGTCAAATTCCCGTCATTTCCAGTTACTTCCAGCATTCGCTGAGGATCTGTCTTTACGGAGCCCCACAGGGGACATGGGAGAAAAAAATTAAGACGGACTTTTGCGAGAGATCTCGCAAAACTTTTGCAAGATCTCGCAAAAGTTTTAGCCGCATTCTTCGGAGGCCGCCAGCTCGAAGCCGACCGGGAGGTCGAGGCACGATGTGCCGGGAAAGCGGTGTTCCTCCCGGCTGTAGTAGGTCTCGACCTCCCGTTAGCTTCGAAGCTAACGGGAGGTCGAAGGCGAAGAATGCGGCAAAACCTTTGCGAGATCTTGCAAAAGTCCGTCTTAATTTTTTTTCTCCCATGTCCCCTGTGGGGCTCTGAAGTCTTGGAGTCTCTCCAGTGTGTAAATCTGTGTATCTACTTCCTCTTGGTCATATTTTCTATAGTAAGTATTTAGACTGACAGAGACACAGAAGACACAAAAACTCTTTAAAAACAAAGAAATGATCCAAAAAAACTACAAACATGGCGGACCATGATGATGTAAGCAGTTTTTCAAAGCTAAATGAAGTAAAGCCGCATGACAGAGACAGAAAACTAACCATCAGAGTAAAACAGGAAGTGAATAAAATGAATAAAGTTATCAGACACAGCAGGTTGAGAAACACCGAGCGCACAAACTGAACTCTGTAACTGTGACTAACACATTTCAGATGCTGATGTGGTATGCATCTCCAGAATACACAGCACAGACACACAGGAGAAGTTTGAATGTTTAGCGTATGAGAGTTAATGCAAACTTCACCGAGTCCTCCCCTCACATGTTTACAGCTGAGCCCTGCATGTTTCTGCGCCTCAGTAATAGACGACGGGTATTTTAATGCAGAGCAGGAACATGCATGTGAGCACAAAGCGACTTTCGTGGAGTCTTTCTTTCGGTCTTCTGTAGATCAGAGATCCTACACGCCTGAGTCTCGGTCCTCAGACCCCACACAGTCCAGGCAACGTCCAACAGAGTTTGTTATTGCATGAAAGACATTGATCCTCCTGCAGCTCCGGCTCATTGATCTGAACTGCTTCGCTGTTTTCAGAGAGAAAATCAAAGTGTTTCTGATATGAGAACGAAGTGTTTTGTTGGTAGCTGATGAGGCTTTTTGGGCTCTGGGAGGCTGAGATCTGAATTCTGGAGCTCAGGACTCACTCAGAGAGGCTGCGCAGTCATAAATGAGCCTCTGCTGTAAACCTGGAGTCTGTGTGATAGCTGAGCTGTGGCAGTATCATCCATCATCAGCAGAATACTGCACAGCTTCCTGCTCTTTAACAACTGGCATAAACAGAAGTGACTGTGTGGTGATGCTGCAGCGGCATGCAGAGGGACCAGTGCAGAGGGTGTACTGGTAACCTTTGTCAGCAGTCATGCTTTCACTGGGACAGCATGCCCCCTATTGGTGGCAAGCTTTACAAAGCAAAACATTAAAAATGCCTCTTAATATTGGCGCTTCCACCTCTGTGAGGATTCAGGAATGAAAATCTTTGTCTGGAAGTTTCACCCGCAGTGACAGAGACAAGTAAACACATTTATTACAGAACAGCTCACATAACAGAGATAATGTGACGGTGTGATCACCAGCCGAGCAGCAAAGCCTCCGCTGTACAATCAACATGTGCCACAACTGCAGGACAAAACATTTCACCATCATCATCATCATCATCTCAGCTCTCTGTCTGCGGGACGAAAGCTGACGCTCGTGCAGGTTGAGCACACAACATCTGAATATTTCCACCTTTTTCTGCCTCGTCACAGCGTTTAAAATGCAGGAGCAGTGAGACAGGGATGATGAACCAAAGCAGAGCTTTTAGTTCTTAAAGCAAAACACAGGAATCCTGACCAGATAAATAAGAGGGCAGGAATGACGGGCATATGTGGGAAAACACACTAATACCAGAGAAATACATAAGTATAAATACACAGAAATAAAGAAGCAAAACTAACTGAACAAAGTAAAAATAGATAAAGACAGGAAGTGAAAAAAAACTGATTACCAAAATAAGGTCAAAACAAGGACAAAGACAGAGAAGACCAAAGAAAACTACAAACATGGCTGACTATAACTGTATGCTAAATAATGTTTACTGTAGAAATGCAGCAGAGCAGTTTAACAAAGCTAAACATGAACTTCCCTCTCAGTACAGCTGATGTGCTTTACTCTTCATCAGGAAGTCAAAGGCGACAGTTCATTTCAAACAGCATCATCACTTTTTCTGCATTTACAGCCAGTCTGTAGTTTCTGACACAGAAAGTAGACAACCACCACAAAGAGTGCGAGGATCGCCAGAGATCTCATCACAGCACCTAAAGTTGTAACCCAGAGTCCACAGTGCAGGTCGTCACTGTTTGCTGGTTTTATTCGGTAGAACACGTTGGAGGCGTTGCTCTCTTTCTCACTAAACAGGTTCTTTATTCTGCAGGAGAAAGTTTTCACACGCTGTGTTTCCTCATCATTGATGATCTCCACGGTGTTCTTTCCAGACGTTGCCCACTCTCCATCATCCTTCTTCCAGAAGTACTCCACAGGCCCGGCTTTGCTAACGTCTCCCTCACACACCAGTTTACATCTCTCAGAGGTTGAGCTACATACCAGCGGCTTCACTTCCACCTCAGGTCGGGGCACATCCTCGATCGCCATAATCTTATGAACCCGACTCTGGATCTGGTTGTTGATCTCCACTGTATACACCTCATTGTCCGCTGCAGTCATGTTCCTGATCTCCAACTCTCCTGTGTCAGTGTTCAGAGTGGTTCGGCCTCTAAACTTGCTGTAATATGTCAGAGGAATCTGGTCTTTCACCCACTCAGCCAGCAGGTTCTTGCCGTATTTCCACACGATGCTGGTGATCCGTTCCAGAGACCGGCTGAGGGCTGAGCTGGAGTGTTTCACCAACCCTGAAGTACTTCTCCACAGTCTGGGCCTGAGTGAAGCCGACTAACAGCGGCACTGCGAGGAGCCAGAAACCAGCCGATGTCTCCATGTTCACAGATCAACACAGAAGTGACAGGTCTGTGCAGAGGTCTTTATTTTTGTCCCATCTGTGGTTTCCTTTGGTGGGCGTTTGAAACAAGGAAGTGAGCCCTAAAACAGCTTTGCAACCCTTTATGGTCGTTCTGAAGCAGCATCACGTCTCCTCGGTCAGCCCCGAGTGTCGATATCCACCAACCGACCTGTAACAGTCCTGTTGTTAAAGACCTGCTGGGGATAAATTCTGCTGAAAAGCAGCATCAGGACACAAACCAGAACATTTCTAATGAACCTGAAGTTAAACCGCAGAGTGAAACATAATCATCGTTTATCTGCCTCACGGTGAAAAAACGAGACGAGGAAGTTTTCAAGTGTTTACTGTCTTTATCACAGAGAGAACAGTTCAGGAGCATCATTTATCTCTGTGCATACCGTCTATGTACAGAGTGCACACAGTGCTTACAGCAGGGAATCAAACATCTGCAGGCAGATGATGTTTAACACTTTCCAAAGTGCTTTTTCACAGTAAAAGGCTGCAGTTGAAGGCACGGCAGGAGGAGGAGGGATGCTGGAACACTTTCATTTAATTACCATCAGCTGAAGGCGAGGACCCCGACGGCCTCTTTCAGCACGAATACAGACGTGAGTGTGTTACACACACCAACATCAATAAAAACAGGAAGTAATCACATTTAAGAAACTTTGCAGAACACAGAGCTTCTTTCCTTTTTTTAAATATGTTTATAGATCATATCGCTGCAAGTTTTCCTCCAATGGCAGCGTCTCTCACGTTACAGAGGAAACGAAGCAGACTGTAAAACGACGGCATCAAACTGGCCTCACAGTCCTGAACTTCAGAGGAAACATCTGAGGACCGGTTTCAGCTCCTGCCCGATCTCCAGGCTGCAGAGCTGCAGTGTGCAACCTGTCCTTAATTGATTGTCCCTCACACCGAATGTACAGCTTTGCTTTTTCACTCGTTTAACATTTCATATCATCTAAAACCTGGAAACAAAACAGATTCTTAGGACATCAACTTTTCTTGTTTCTGGTTTTCTAGGGTCACCATCGTCATCGTCACATCTGAGAGATGTTTTTTCCGACTCTCCCGGACGCTTTAAAAGTAAAAAATCAGCAGATAAATTACTAAGTAATGAAAAAAAGGAAAACATCTGTCCTTGACGTTAAAAACAGCTGGTGATTTTACCTAGATAAACACATGAAAACACTAAGCCCACAGACGATCACATGATCACCATCAGCTGCTGTTTGGGAACAAGGAATAACGTCTGGGTCGTTCCCGCACCAGGCTTCCTGCGCCATCCTCTCTCCCTTGTTTATTAATGAATCTATAAACATAAATTTTCTGTCCCCACACAGATATTCATGGGTGCAGTCGAACACTCAAACACGATTGGTCCAGGACCAAACATCTTCCCCCGACCTGTTCTACATATTCCACGCTCTGCATTTAATGGCTTAATAATAAAAACTATTATGATTAATGCGAATTAAAGTGATGGGAATATAATCCATTCATCGTAAACTGAGCTGCCTGAAGATCGTCCACCATCAAACCCCAAACCAGTGAAAACACGTTGAAAGCTGCTGTTTTAAAGGGTCGGGGGTAAAGGCTCTGTTTATGAGGGGCAGCCAATGGGAAAGATGCGAGCTTTAGTTTGGTTTCTGCTCTCGTCACGTCTGGAAAGAGGCGAGCTGATCCAACAAGGCTTCTCATGAGCTGCTCAAACTTTCTAATTGACCCTTTGAAAGCGAAGTTGCTGCTCGGCTGAGTCGTGGTAGAAAAACAGGAAGCTGAGCTCCAGCTGCTCAGTTCATATATTTACACTTAGTTCTTTTTCATTATTCAATCCATTAAAATGTTTCTGTAAACCTGTAAATAAAAGTGAGTTTGATTATTTAGTTAAATTAAACCAGCCTGGTTTTTATTTGTGTTTGATAAATCGAGGTAAGAGAAGCTGATGGATCGTCTGAGCCTGACACGTGTGGACGTTTCTGACCACGTTAAATCAGAGTAAAAATAATGATAATAGTTCCTGTCTGGAAGAAAATCACAGCTGACATAAATAATCTGATTATGTGTAAACTGTAGTGACTGTAAGCGGGTGTCCTCTGGTGCGGAGAGTCTTTAACACATTTCCTCCTGAAGCAGCAGAAGTCTAAAAACGTCACTGGAGGAAATGCTGTCGGGCTTCAGGAGCTGTCAAAGGTTTTTGGTCCCTCTTGTTAAATTCCCAGGATCTGGAAGTAAAGCGGATCATGACTCTCAGCCCTCCGTCTCTAAATTCGCCACCGCAGCGTTCAGGAATCGACCGCAACGCTGCGTCTTCCTACGAGGTCAGCTGACGGCGTTTTCGCTTCCTGCAGTGAACGACGGCTCAGAAACCGTTAATTAACGGGACCGTTTGCGGTTCTGAGCGACGAAGACGAGGCCGCCGGCTTCATTTGTGGGTCGATGCACAGCTTTCATCTTCATACAACAGAGGCTGCAGACAGAGAGGAAACAAGGACATGAGCGAGAAAACAAAATCTGTCAGACTGAACCGTCTGGTTTTATGTTACTTGATCGTCGGCTGTGGCTGTAGAAACAGAAACGTCCCACAAACACCCAGCGGTGCCTCACCTTGCTCTCCAGCACTCGGCCGAGCCCCGGGCTGCCCAGCTCCTCCAGCGTCTCTGCTGCTGGTCTGTTCAGGGTCTCCGGCAGCAGGAGGCCCAAACAGGCCGCCGACAGGCCGCTCAGACAGAACACGGTGAAGGGCATGGAGGTATGGAGGGCCCGCTGCGACACACACAGACACACAACCGGGACCTTTTACTGTCTGAACCCTTCAGCCTGTGTGTTTACACAGTGAATATTTACACACACTGATCAGAAGGTCCAAGAGTGAGATCAAAACATAAATCAAGAGCAAATTGTTTGAAAAGATCCTTAATTATGTCCTGCTGGCGGATAAAATTAAAAAAAGTGTGTTTTTTTAATAAAAAGGTTGAAAAAGAAGCAAAGCAGCATCGGAGCTAAAAGAGGAGGACTGGTTAGACAGATGTGGCACTCCGCCTCGACCTGTGGAGAGATTCCTGCTGTCACATAATGTTGCATGTGCCAGCACAGATAAAGTCTGCACTCAGACTCATTTGGAGTTGTGTGATGTTTATTGGGGACAAAGTGCAAGTAAGAAAGCAATAACTAAGATGTGATTCAATAACGTGTCTCCAGTTCCTACAAAAACACTCCAAGGAATCGGACCTCCTACAAGATTACTGAGAAAATGAAATCACATCCAACTGTGAAACTAAATATTTGTTTTTACTTTGTTGAGCAAAATCTTCTTCTTCAGCAAATCTCTGGATAAGACCGAGTGACACAGATCTCTACTTTCTGCAGAAATCTCGTGAGCACGAAAAACGATGGGAGATTTTTAAAAACACGCCGGCCTTTTCCACAACAATGAGAGTCGCTCGTTTTTCCCCTCGTGCCAACATTTCATAATGTAATCTGTCTCGTATCGTTTGCTCCTCCCGAGGTCAGGTTTTCCTGCGTCTGTGAGTGTTGCCTTCACACTCTGTAAAACACCATTAACGACTGAGAAGCTGAGGTTTGTGGGTAAAAAGCCGACCTTCATCCGTTCAGATAAACGCCACAGCCTGGATGAGCCGTTTGATTAAAGGTCCCGCGCTCGGGCTCCGAATATCTACTGCCACGAGACTGCGACAACAC